GAAGGCCAAGGATGCAGGATGGAGCCAGATCAGGGCCAGTGTACCAGAAGTGGTCGCCTGCCAATCAGACCCTCGAACAGGACGCGACCAGAGCTCCGCTGCAGACCTCTGTCCTGATGAAGATTGCGGAAGACCTGAAGGCCCTGACCACATCGGAGATCGTGACGGCCTTTCATTCCAAACGGCCCTTGACACCCAACATGCAAGGGGCAATGGTGGTGCTGCAACTGGATGTCAACTTCCGAAAGCCAGAGGCGAATCAGTTCTACGAGAAATTGGAGATGCTCACGGGCCAGGCGGCTCTGCAGCTGGGAGGATTACAGATTCGCAAGGAGGGCTACAAGAGATCCGCTGCCGTAACGAAGCTGGCAGAGCTCACGCGGTGAGGACGCTGGTACTGCGGAACAATGCCAACTACTGCTATGTCAACTCAGCTGTCAGGACTATTCTCTGGGCTGTTGCAGCGGATCCTGAATTGGAGACTTTGCTGACGAATATAGGACGCAGTCTGATTAAAGGCCTTCTTTCACACAAGGGCAGGTCCATACTTGTTGCAGGACATATTCTTTTCAGCACAATCTTTACAGGCTGGCGGTCACCAGCTCAGCAACATGACTGCGCGGAGTTCTTGGCTCATCTCATTGCAAGAATAGGTCCTGGCGTCTGTGATGGCAAGTGGGAGGCCAGACGACAGCAGCTTGACTCCGAGGGTCAATCCCAAGTGGTTACAGTTGATGAGGGCACATGCGGTCAGGCGATATCCCTGACCTTACCAGATGGGGATATGCACCAAGCTCAGCTCCTACTTCATAATTGGCATGCACAGGCACACCCACACGCTCTGCAGAAGGTGCCGAATCTCTTGTTTTTGAGTTTTTCCAGATATGGTGGCAGCCCTGGTGTAGATCAGAAGAACTCCTGCAGCATAGCCTGGGGACGCAGAGTACACATGCCTGTTTTCTCAGGGGACAACGATTTATCTTCAGGCGTGGTTGAGTTTGAGGTCATCGCAGCCATTATGCATCATGGTGTGGTTGTTACCGCGGGACATTACACGGCACAATTGGTTGAGGCAGAAGGGGACGTTCTGTGTGATGACAATGCTATACCCGCTTATCGGGTCCGCAGCCCAGATTCCGAGATGCATCGGTCGAGCGAGGTATACATCTTGGTATGCAGACGGAGCAGAGGGGCGTCCCCTGGGGGGGGCGAAAACATGTCCCATTGAGAACACACTGCTCCTTACCCGCGCAGGTGACGGGGTAAGGATGACAGTGAGGTCAGGGATGGAGCCTGGACGCATGGGGCGGAGACAAAAGCTGGGTCGACTTTTTTTTTGTCAGGTTATTTTCCGGCTGTCCCTTCTGTGTTGGATTCGATTACGCTCATGACCATCTTGCTGCAGGGGACAGGGTTCTCAAGCGAGGTTCGGTGAGGGGGTGAGTACACATGCCACGGCATGACATAGTTTTCGTCGATGGTGTCTGCAGCACGCCGCCAGGAGTGGATCCAGAAGTCTGGCAGCTCGAACTACCTTCTATCTTGGGGATGGCTTTTGGGCCAGAGATGATGGAAGTAGGTTCCCCGGCAGGATACAGTGCTATCGAGTCAGAAGAGGCCTCACCACGACCTATTGACGTTATTGAAGAGGCTGGCGATGGTGAAGAAGTGTCCCTGCTGGGGGATGCTAGGGTCGAAGCTGGTATTGGTGCAGATGCTATCATGGCAGGAGCAGAGACGGTACACTCAGATGGCTCGCCACTGTATGCCAGTCCCAGATCTGATTACGCGCTCACGGAGATTGACTCCGGGGAATCGGATGAGCAGTCAGCGACGGAAGAGTCGGCGGCAGCAGAGGGACCTCGCGAGGATGAGGAGGAGGGTCAATTGGCCCAGTCGGCCCAAGTGGCCCACATCACCCTGGACGTGCCGTACGCGGTTCCGCCGGCGGAGCTCCTAGAGCAGTGGAATGTCCCTGAGGACTATGTGCACATGCTTGCTATCCCCGCCATTTCCATGGAAGAGCCGCCTGCCCATCCCATGGAGCTATTTGCTTTCCGCATGTTGCACCGCGGATCCATGAACCTGGATGCCTTCCATGAAATGCGACAAATTCTTGTTCAGTACTTGCCGCAACTCACTAAGGCCAGGAAGCGTAAGTGCGTGGAGTTCGCCAACAAGCCCACGGGTGGTACATCCTTCTCCTTATACTGGGGTAGCTATGTGTTGGGAGGTATCAACGGTATAACCCGCAATACCAACAATTTTCCCTGGATGACAAGGCTGCTGGTCGCGCTGATCAGGGGTCACAGGAGCCAGCATGTTTTCAGTTCGTTGGGATTGCACCTCAATACGTACATGGCTCCGCATCTTGACAAGCACAACCATCCAGCGCTGCCGAGCTTCATTATCCCATGCGGGAGGTGGCAAGGCGGAGGACTTTGGGTTTGTGACCAATCTCTGCCCAGACAGAGCTCATGTGGGGACATGATGGGCGATTCTGGAGTTCTGTTCCGGTCCCACTGGCTACATGCCACCATGGCATGGCAGGGGCAGCGTATGGTATTGGTTGCTTATGCCAACAACAGCATCCGTACATTGAGGGAAGAGGACAGGACACAGCTTGCGGCATTGGACTTCAACAGTCAGTACTGACTCTGGGTATCCGGGCGTGTTGCCACTACTTGGGCCTGGGGATTTACTACTGTGGTCATGTTGCGGTTGGTCTGTTCTTCTTGCCTACTGGTGCTTTTTCCTTTCTGGATATTATTTGATTTCCTACATGGAGATGCTGAGGCAGCAGCTCTGCGAGTAGTCACGTGACACTTGTTGTACAGCCTCTGTAGTTGCTCGCTTTTGTAACGTGCCTGGTTGCGATGCTTTGGTGTACGCACCGGTCGCGACGGGCGATGTTGCTGGGTGCTTAGGCACGAACATGGCCGAGTTCCAGAAACTCCGGATTTAATACAAATCCGCAATGGCCTACACTAGGCGACCTAGAGGGTAAAGGCCGCTGTGAGTCAAAAAGGCTTTTGGGTTTAGGGTTCTAAGGTTTAGGCTTTTAGGGTTTAGAGCTTAGATCAAGGCCAACAAAAGCCCAGGACCCTAACCCCTGAGATACACTGCGAGTCTCAATCTAACTCCTATACCCTGAACCCTGAACCCTAAACCCTAACACCCTAAACCCAAAGCCCCAAGCCCTAAAACCCTGTGCCCTAAACCCGTACTTTAAACCCTAAACAAGATCATCCCTCTGTACCCTCAATTATAGTATTGATCAGACTTGTCCCTGCGCGATGCGATCTACAGGTTCATGATTATCATAATTATCTGCTGGATGGATACTTTGGGTTGGGCCCCCACCCACAAATAGTGGTATATTAGGAATATATAAGGACCCTAATATAATTACCATTATCTCTTGTGGTCACTATTAGCCCTACACCCTAAACCCCAAACCCCTAAACCCCCAAACCCTAAACCCCTAAACCCTAAACCCCTAAACCCTAAACCCCTAAATCCCCAACCCAATGAATACTCTCCAGAATGCTGCCAGAAGGACTTCCACAGTAAGACCTGGCGCCTGCTAGGAGTGATTTAGGGTTTCGAATTTAGGGTTTAGGGTTGAGGGATTTAGGGTTTAGGGATTTAGGGTTTAGGTTTCAGGGGTTTAGGGTTCAG